GGAGCCTTTTTGAATCCACGATCGTGTGTAGCATGCCAGATCTTATACCTGAACTTTCAACATGGAATGTTCATAATACCCCCTAAATGTGCTTCAATTTCTGTGATGTACATCTGGCCGGCGAAAGTTAAGAATCTCGGTACGAGAATATTATGTAAATAATGGGCAGTTGGCAATTATCAGCCATCGCTTAATACCCCATTTAGTCTCCCTCTTCACGAGTCACATCACTTACAAGTTCCGTCGACTGCAATCGCTTGGCAATGCCGCTCGTAAATTCTACGTTTTTAAGTTTTCGCACATTCGGGATTACTTCACCCTTCGGATCACTGTATGAACTTGATCTATGAGTGACGCAGGAGGAACACAGATTTAAGGTCGTAATTTGAGAGTTGATTCATAGCAACAATGTTTTCCAGGGGTTAAACACATTTCAAGTTAAGTTCCGAATGAGGGAGCGCGGTAAAAATAAACGACTCTTGACTAATTGTGATTCACAGTGCAGTAAAAATCCTAGTAGTGCATGTCCAAATTATATTCTACGATGTAAACGCAAGTTTGATTCATGAACTTAGTCGAATGTTATGAGGAAACGCTTTAACTCAGATGCCCGCGCACGAAAAAGTTCCGGTTTTTCTGAAAACGGTAGCTGTTGAATTTCAGCGGCGAGTGACGCGGACTCCCAGGAAGCGACTGGCGTATGGCCATGAGATAGCGCTGTTGTGGCAACTGGAAGCCGGCGTCCTGCTATCTCGTTTATTACTGCTTTTGTTCCACTCACGCAATTACATCTCTCAGAAGTGGTTTCAGCGTGTAATAATCAATGTTTAATATATTTTCTTTATACACGAATCGGTGCCGATCTTCGACTTTTGAGAATAAATACATTTTACATTATCATTCAGCGAATGTGGGTGTTGAGATCGGTGTAATGTCATGTTTTCTCACATTTTATATTAAAATACTAACTGCATTTTATATATTACGTACTCGTACACATAAAATGGAGAAAGTGAAAAAATGCCATAAAAATCGATGTCGAAATTTTGACAGAAAAATACGTTTTGGTACCCCCCTGATCCCCTCAAACGTCCTTTTTCTCTCAAAACATCCGTTCCTCCGAGTGTGAACAACGCCACCGCCTAAACCGTTTAAAAGACTTTCCCAAAATTGTATTCCCCATGTTATCTGGCGTTTCGGCTCCTGGAATTTGAAACCGTACTTTTAATTTCTAAGGATACTTTTTCTATTTATTCTAAGTGTGTTTATCCAATTATTATGTACAGATTAAGTTTCTATTTAACTTGAAACATTCATGTTAATAGCATTGAGACCAGATGGAGTCAAATGCACTCATAGAATTTTTTTCTTTCACATTGAATCTGTGCAAACAAAAAGGTTCGATGTTCCATTTTGCCAATTTTGTGTTAACGGTGGAAAACTGTTCTTAAAATATAAATTCAACTTTCTACGCTTAAACGTTCGTTGCTCGTGAGTTCCGTGACGTCTGTCAATATTTGATCTGACAATATTTGAGAAGTCAAAATTAAAATAATTTTATATTTAATGTTTCTGAAACAAGTATCGGAAACTAGCTGTATTTTTTACACTACTTTTTCGAAATTTTCTAAATAATGATCCCTATTTCTTTCCTTTCTTGAATAGAGCACAGTACGCATACAACAATGGCACACATCTTATTTTCATTAAAAGATCTTTATTTGCGATAATTTCAATTTTCTTCGACACTCTCCACCAACTACATTATTGAGAATAAATATTTGTTTAAAACAAGATCTATAAGTATTGTCATAAAATGTTTGGAGAATATGACTATTGTCATAGATTTGCGTTAAATGGTGACAATTTAAACTAATGGTACTACAGCTGCACATACTTTCTCGCATTATTTCTAACTTTTGCAATTTTCAAAAAATCAGAAGTTTTGACGCCAATGAGACCTTCACCATTGTTTGAGGCGTTCTTTACGCTATCCGAGGGCAAATATTTATCCAAAAACTTGGAGCCATTTTTGAGAATTTTTTGAAAATGTTGAGGCTTCATCTAAAATACTGCTCAAAAATCAGAATGTTTCAAATTTGGAGAGCATCGAGTTCGTTCAGATTGATAGGATAATATAAATTTGGGTGATAGTCGGCTGAACGGTTTAAGCGCAAGCGTTGGTCACAGATGGATGCTTTGCCGTCAATCGATTTTTCGATATCAAGGAACCACATAATAAGTATTCTGACAACACAATGTGTAAGAGGAAATTTATAGAAACAAGATATATCCACTGTTTCATTACTAGAGACCGACAATAAGACTTTTCCAGTCGAAAAACCGCCAATTCCATCAGCACGATGTTGTCTTTACTGCATACGTAGTAAGGCGTGACAGTAAAGAGTATGTCAACAAGGTTTACTCAAAAGCTCTAAATCTGTTCTTTATTTGTTTTCTAGCGAACTGTGCGTCAAGTAATGTTTGAATTTTTCTTCATACGTTCGGAATTTTGAAAATTGTAAAAGTTCAATATTTGAGAACCTGCTGTACTCCTTCAGTATTAAGGATTGACATTTCTTTTTTACTGAAATGCGTTCATAAATATTAATCTTTAAATCACTTCATTTAGTTCATCATTTCATTCAGTTATTTCGGGATAGTAGTTTATACGTGATTTTGAGTTATGTATATCGTTAATTTTTTCCTTCATGTGACAGCTGAAAATGTTAGTAAGATAAAGGACTATTGCAATATTGTAATATTAGGTTCTTGGCAGTGATACGAGAAAGAATGTGATGTTGTAGAATCCCTTGCTTAACGATGAGTTTAAGGTAATTTTTTTAAATTAATTTTTATTTATGAAAACTTTTTTACATATTCATTGTATTAAAGTTTGCGTCATATTAACGTTTGCACAGTGTACTTCAGTTAATAATATTTCTTAAACTTGAGTTCGAGATATTTCAAAATTGATTCTGCCGTTTAAAACTACAATAAAACGACATTAACAATAAAATTCAATTGTGAACGTGTTGATATCGATTTCAAAATCTACTCGTTACTTATTATGCACAAAAAGGCAAGGAAAATACGTGTTTCAGGATTGAGTGAGATTAAAAGAACAGTATGTTTCAATTCAGAAGATAATTCTATTATTTAACTTTTATTAACGCTCTGCATGTAGTATATTGGAAATTTCATGTTACGTTCTGATTTCATGACGTAGTTAATCAAAATACTGTAAATAAAATGTCTATAAATACAATCATGATTGAAACAACTTTAAAAGCAATGTATAATATCTGCGCGGAAAGTAACGCTAGATCGAAACATGTGTTTATTTCTCATTTGTGTTTCAATGCACGAGTAATACCGACCCACATGCAAATGTCATGTATAATTGAGTTTTAGCCCAAAACGAGATTTTGGTTTTTGCCCTTCAAATTTGGGATTAAAAAGAGCTTCTGCGCGTGATTCAAGCGCGAGTCGTCGATGCGCCTGTTAAATTGAACTTTCGTTTTCTGATTACAAAACAACATTGGATAGTGGAAGAACGGAACCAAATTTGATCTGCGCAGGCAACGAACCGTATGACATACGAAGCGGTGGCTGCAGTCTTTTTTTAGGGTAAGGGTCCTCTCAAGCGTACAAAATTGTGAATGTGCATGGTACATGATACACTTTGCTTCCAATGCATACTGTTTCGTTATCGGAGAATTATACGCACGAAGTAGGGGTGTGTCCTTCATTACGCCGTGATATGTCCCGTATCTTGTATTTTTTTATGTTTCGCCAAGAGTCTTTCATGCGTAACATTTTATTGATTCATTTTACCTCTCTCATAGAGAGGATACATTTGCTTGACTGAAGCAGGGAGGCACTATTGGATTTCTTAGTCAATATTTATTTTATTTTGTAGTTAGAGGGTTTGTTGTTGTGAGTGATGTACAAGTAAAAGAATAGTGATTTGAACAGTTTATAATAATTTCAGTTATACCTATGTATTTTATACGATATGCACATACGTTGAACAACTTAGTGTCTATTGAAATGAATATTTATTTAATCTTGTGCTTGTTTTCCAGAAATAACTACTGAAAACAAAATACATTAAATTGAATAGAATTATTATTAGGGGGTAATTACCAATATATCTTACGTGCTCTCACTTTTCGTTGTTGGATGTTAATTAAAATAATTTACTGAATTTTATAAAGTGCTTTAATTCAGAAGGATAATAATGATTTGGCAACAATTAAATGTAATATGAGGGTAAGTATTATATGTACATAACTCAGTAATTGTTTATGTTAAAGCAAATGATCTCAATATGACGAGAGAAAACTTCGCTTTTTGAATATACATGTACTTACTACGTTGTGGAGAAGTACTGTAGTATACCGAAACTTTATTTCAGGGTACATCTCAGTATGCTATTTAAAAGAACACTAATAAGTTTCCTGATGAAACCAAACTGACATTTGCTGATAACATTATATTAAAAAATAACAATATTGTTCTTCTAGTGAAAGGAAATTATACAAGTACTATAAATTACTACAAGAAATTATACTTGTACATCTCGAAGATACATATGACGAATACAAAATTACTATCTAGTTTTACAGGAATGTAATATAATGTTGATTATGCCTATCGATTTACATGCTATGAAATTAAAGGAGAATACGTGCAAAACTTTCAACTATTTAAAAAAATTATAACAAAATTATATTTCTCTTACTTTTGCTATCACTTTCCCACTGTCGCCAAAGTACTTTTAGTGAGTAACTTTTTTTATTTCAAATAAGCTACGATTTATGTCTCTTCATGAAATTTGTAGTAATAGATGTTTTACAAAGCGTTAGTAAATTTTTAAACGGAAGAATACCTATTTATTTTACTTTTCAAACGCAATATCGTAAGTCTTCATTTTTATTATTCCAATGCATCAAACACACTCGCCTTCAGTGAACAGCATCGCGCGCGGTACTTACTCGTTTTTCTGCAGATTGAGGAAGGTGATGGAGTCCCCAAAGCCGACGAAGGCGTCGTCCGGGATGTAGGAGATGTTGTTGGCGCGGAGGTCGAGGTTGCGCAAGCGGTGCAGGCGGCGCAGGGCTTCGCTGGGCACGGAGTGGATGTTGTTGTCTCCGAGCCTCAGGTACTGCAGGTTCTCTGCGCAACACATCGCCCACCCGAGATCAGATCTGCAGCCCAACTCGTGGTAATGGAGCCGTTTGCGGGTGTCTTTGAGCAGATAAGGAATTAGAGCACTGCGAGGTCTCTACGCTATTCATGAATTAGGTTTTTTTTACACCGACTTAGGTGGTGAAGGGTATTAATTGATGTCTCCTCAGTGCTTCTGACCGGGTGTTCCTTGGGTTCGAGTCCCGACAGTGGCAAGCATTTCGGCATTTAACTATGTAGCTAGGTAGAATTCAGCCGCTGTCTGGAGGAAAATTCTACACTGAACTGCAGTTTTTCGTGTTTTTTCCGATCAACGTCAGGCGAACACCGGAGCGGTACTCTAACAATCGGACCACGGACCGCGCGCGATATTTCCTTCCTCTTCCTCGCCCTATCCCTACCCTTTACACACACACACATTTACACTTACACGCACTACACTACCACACATTCCGGGAGACCAGTCCGGAGCTTAGTGCTTGTCCTGACTGGGGCGATACCCCGCTGATGGGAGATACCTGGTTCGGGAAAACCCTGGAAGCCGACCTGTAGGTCGGCACGGGATATCGCCATTCAGCGTGGGAAGATCGCTGCCACCTCCCACGATACAATCAGGCACTGCTAATGACCTCGACAGTTGACGCTCCCGGAATCACCAATCATTATTTTTTGGGGGAAAAGAATGAAAGCTTCTCCGTGTGAGTCGGAACTATACAACACGAAACAAAGCTTCCAGAAAATATTAGAATTTTTACTCACTTTTTCATTATTTTTTTTTCTTTTTTGTGTGCTCGTATCCGTAACTTTTCGGTGCGCGTATACGTTGAACGTCAGTTACCGCCAGAATACACAGACACCGCAGCCGGGTTAATTTAACTTTTTGGGAGTTTGCTGGAGAGCGCCTTGCATCTGTCATTTTCCTCGCGCCATTCGTTCCACGACAACCGATGCTTCAAAGCCCTTCCAATCACGCTCGCCCTCCGTCTCCCACGCAGCCTCTCCCCTCCTCTTGTAGAGTTTGTTTAGAGCGACGCACCCTCCCTCTGCCGGGCCGCACGGCGCCGCACCGGTGCCGCCGCAACAACGGCCTGCCAGCGCGGCGCCGCGCGGCGGGAGGGCTTTGCCGTTGGATTTGCGGGGGGGCCGACCCGGCGGCTCGCATTACCAAGTCTGGGTCTCTTGCAAATGAGCCCGCGTCCCGCGCCCCGCCCCCTCGTGCCGCACCGCGCCTTGCCGGTGTGTTCGCCCCGTGTTGTCGCTCCTCCGCCCCCGCGCATGTAACATTCATAGGCGCCGCCGCCGCCGCAAGGAGACGCCCGCCAGCTCCCACCCTGGTGCCGCGGGGCCCCCGCTCCCTCCCCCCTCCACTCGCTGCAACATTCATTCGCCCGGGCCTCTATTAATTAACCGAATTCAGTTAGCCGGGCGCGGATCCGCGCTTTGATTTGATTATGATCCCTTCGCGAGCGCAATTTGTGTGAAGGGGACGTTGTCCGAGCCCCCGACGTTGCACTCGAGGCCGGACACGACGTGGGAGGTGATTTCTACGGCGGAGATCGGAAGCGCAGAGCCTGCGACAGGACAACAGTTGATTTTGGAAGCATAGGTCGCGTGGCAGGACTGTAATTCATTAAGTGTTTAAAGACAGTAGTATGAGACGAAGTTTGTGCGTCTCTAGTACGGAAAATATTCATAGATGATATTTAGTTAATTGTACATGTATGTGGCCTCTAGAATGGCTCATGGGCAGCGTACTAGTTTACCATGGTGTGAAACAGAGTTCGAATCCCCGTCGAGGCAAATATAGAATTGTAGCTTTCCTTGAGAATCGTCTGTACACTGCAACTGACACAGGACTACAGGAACTGTGTAGATCACATTTTACTGCATAAAACACCGAAATCTCATTTCTTACAACTTTTACGTTCAGAATTGTATGTATCCTCGTTCATATCACAATGAGGATATCAGAACTCATTCAAAAGGATAGCAGAAATATTTTTTTTCGAAAATAAATGTAATCATCATTACATACGAGTGGCTTTTCTGTAAAGTTTAGATTTCCGTTCATATCCGGTATTAAAAGTGTTTCAAAACTAAAACTTAAAAATTAAAAGAACGGATGTTGATCGACAATGTTAGTGTCAAGGTCAACTTCAAGAATGGGATCTTCATAGATTTTGTATTGATTAATTTAAATCAATAATTTAATTGTATAAAATCAATAAAAGTATAAACCTAAAACATAAAAAGACAATTTTGCCGTTTTCTTGGTTTCTTTTCATACTTTCTTTGAGAAATTGTGGGGAGAGACAGAAAGAAAGTAAACACAACCGCTAAACAAACTGATCTGTGAACTTATTACTATCTTTGTGTTTATCCGAGAGTGGGCGGGTTGTCCGTTCCAGCGGTGGACGTACAATATGTCAATACCCGAGGAAGCACCGAAATGGATTAGGATGGCTGTTTGCATGGTGGAGCGCTAGTTTTGAAACTTTCGATCTTTATTTATGGTAGAAGTGACTCGTTCCTTGTTTATGAATCCTGTACAAGATGATGTGCAATGTCCGGAAAGTACTCTCTTTATTGAACCTGTTAGATAATGTAATTAATCTAATCATTCCTGCTCACTTAACTTTAATTTTTCTGGCAAAACCCTAAAAAAATATTAAGTGGGTAATGTAAATAACACAGCAATTTAAGATATCGCAATTTTGGAGGTAATTATCTCATACGCGTAACTTTGTTTGAAAATATAATGTAGGCTTGCCTTATCCTCATTTATTGTCAAAAGTCATACGTAATGTTTAACTTTCTAAATATGGAGAATTCTACCTGTTGAGAATAATACGATTTTGGGTACACAGTTCCTACATTAAAGTTATATGTTTTTTTTTGAATTTTGGTTCAATTGCCCGTTTTACCAGCTATCTAAAAATGCCTTCCATGTCTAGGCCATATTAATTGGGAGGGTGAGAGTGACATGTGCTAAACATGACGCATTCCCATCAAGTAACTAACAAAATCCGCTTGCCTGAGCTTTCGTTCGTCAGACAGCTATAGAAACTGAGAAGATTTTAGAGGAAAGCTATACCTCTATTATTGCCTCGACCAGGAATTGAACCCGTGACCACGGGAAGATAGTATCCTGTCCTTTAGACATTAAATGTACTAATGCTAAATAATACTATTCTAATGATATCTGCCTTGAAATACTACGTGCGTCTGCATATATTTGAATGTACGTATAGACCCCAAGCAGTGATATTCAGTTTATAGGAAATGGAGGTACAATCTTCTGGATATGAAGACTGACTCCGTTCCTCTTTGTTGCGGCTTTGCTTGTAGTCGTATTTTATGACACCGCAAACTAGCGCTCCCCTTTCCGCGGCATGTTGTCAGCGGGAGAACCGAATACGGCGGCGGAGGAAATGGAATCATTATTTTTCACTCTCCGCTTGGGAAAGACGATGCGTTCGACGGCGCCACGGCGCTGATGAACGCGCTCACGTCGATGGCGGGGTGGGCGGGCAAGCGCGCGGCGCGAGCGCTCGGAGATGCCGGAATCGCGTGACTCGTTCTGTCGCGGAATGCCCGGGAAGATGAGGTTTCTGAAAGTGTCTGCAGATCACTCTAGGCTATCTGCAGACGGAAAATAGGATGCCCCCGCGTTTTGTTCCATTAATGATAGCAAATTTATCCTCGGGGAATATTTGTTGTTATTAGGTAGGCCTTATTTCAAAGATGGAAAAACAGGAGACTTGTCATGTGTGTGAAGTTTGGTTTCCTTTTTGTGTTTCTGAACATATTTTGTACAGATTCACATTATTTTCTCTTTTTATATATTTTATCTTCTTTCCATTTTAATACCGAATGTCGGACAGTTACTTTGTGTGAGCAAAGATGGAAAATATGATTTGAAGGTTTGAGGAAAGCAAGTGCGATGTCATTTATTGTTAAAGTTGAAGTAGTTGATTATCAATACTCACGAAAGTAATGCAGGAAATTTTCAATTCGTAGAGTATGTTGGTGAACACAAGGGATCCGATTTATTAAATATTTCCCCACATCAAATTAGGTGTAAAAAATTAAAAAAAATTCGGGAAGGCGAAAGAAAAAAAAAGAAAAATATTCCGGATATCAAGTAATTCGAAGTCCGGTATTGAGATGCTGCCTTGTTTACCATGAACGTATTTTTAAAGAATTCCCAGGGAGCAAAATGTCATATTTAAACGTATAGTAGAAATTCAGGGAGTTAGATATTCTACTGATATTTAATTTTGTGCTGCGATCTAGATATTATATCCATTTTTTTAATATAAATTGCACTAAAAAACGAGATATCAGAACTTCATTTGATTTTAACAAGAAATCCTTTCTAGAAATATGTGTAATTCATAAATAATTATGAAGCTATTTAGACTAAACTAGAATGTTGATGAGAGAATTTAAAATATAGGGTCGAAGTATTTATTATCTAAATTCTGTCTTACGGTTTTAAGTTGTCTTAAATAATACTAAAGAAAATGAAAGGAAAGATGTTGAATGATGACTATTATTTAGAATAATTTTTATTGTGATGCAAATAAATCAGAGAAGAATTCATTATCTAAGTTGTCTTGGGAAGGGGTAAAAAAAGCTAACTTAAACAGAAAATATGCTGTGTGAGCAATAGAACAATAATTCTCATATTTTGCGTTTTCCTTTTTCAGGTAAGATTCTTCTTGCCTCTCTTGCATCTGTTGTTTCGGTAACCTGTGTGACCTGTGTGACTGGTAAGTTTGTATTCTGATAATTGACCTTGCATGCATACTTCAATTCATTACATTTTTGTGAACAGGAATAAAATCTAGTATTTAAAATATTGATTTCCCTCGAGTATTATTTGCCTCAATACTACTTTTATATACGTTTTTTTAAAAATATTTTTGTGTCGTTTATCGATGGCATTCTTAGCATATAAACCCCTCTATTTTAAAGCCAAAGAC